AGATGCCATGCTGCCCACCAGATCTCCAGGACTTACCCTACATAAATGACACCCTACACCTATGAAGCTTTGTCCCATGAGACCAGAATCTCCCCTTTATGCCCACCAGCTCCTGATAACACTCTCTCTGTTTCTACACAATTAGCATTTTAGGTGCCCCTTTTAGTCCAAGCATACAGTGTGTGTTTTCTTCTCTGTGTGTGGCTTATTTCATTCAGTGCCCTGCCCTCCATATTCACATCATGATGAGAGGCAGCCTCCTTTATCAAGGCTGAATCAAATCTTATATCTTTGTGTGTACATATATTTGTGCATATGTGTGCGTGTATACAGGGGAGAGAGGGGGTAGGATGAGAGAGAGAGAGAGAGAGAGAGAGAGAGAGAGAGAGAGAGAGAGAGAGAGAGAGAGATCTCTATCCTTTGAACCATGGACAAACTCACTGATTACTTCAGATCTTGGCTGTTGTAAATAACACTGAGTGCACACAGAGCGGAGAGGGTGCGCATATCTCTCTGTGGGGAGTCACCTCATTGCCTTTGGGTATACACTTCTATAGAACGTCTTTTCCTCTGGGCTTGACACGAACGTCACCCTCACAGAGCAGAGCACCTGCGGTGACCTATGGACAACTGGGTGTACAGCTGGGACGATGAAACAAACAGACCTGCAAGCTTCTAAGCCAGCTGTGGCTGCTAACACTCCCTCCTGGAGAGCAGCAGGGTGCTCACAACATCCTCAGAACCTACCTCAGTTCTCCAAGCACCACTTGACCCTGCTCCCTGATAAGCATCATTGTAAAATACTGACAGCGGGGCTTTTAGCCATCCAGCTGCCCTGGAGTTCCCCATGCTGCTGAAGCAAGCCCCGTGTTTTTTGTTTTTGTTTGTTTGCTTGTTTTGAGACGGAATTTCATTATGTAGTACTGGCTGGCCTGGAACTCGTTGAAATCCCCTTGCCTCAGCCTTCCTCAGAGCAGGGATTAAAGGTATGAGACATCACACCTGGTCTTGCTGTGTTCATTTTGATGCCGTTTGCTGTAAATGGGACTTGGGGGTGTTTGTTTGTTTGGATAGTTTGATAGTGTATGGAAAACTGATTTTGTGTGTTCATTTTCTGTCCTGTAATCATACCATATTTATTTACTAATTCTAGTAGTTTTGGGTGGAGCCTCTGGTATTCTATGCATGTAAGATCATGTCATCTGCAAACAGCAACAACTTCTCCTTTTACAGCTTTTTATTGTGTAATTGTTCTGCCCAGAACAGAAGTGGCTGGAGCAGGCATTCTTGTCTTGCTCCTTGTCTTTAATGAACAACTTCAACTTCTAGTGTTGACCACGATATTATCTGTGGGTTTGTGAAGCTTTATTATACTGAGGTACATGCCTTCTATACATAAATGTTTGAGTATTTTCTCATGGAATGATGTTAAACTTTATCTAAATTTTTTTCTATATCAACTGAGACAATGATCCAGTTTTTATCCTTTGCCTGTTTATTGATTTGCATATATTGAACCATCCTTGCATTACAGGAATCAGACCCATTTGATCATAGTGTATGTTTGAATGTGTTCTTAAATGCTATTTGCTAGGATTTCCAGGGAGGATTCTGGCATCTAACTTTGAAGATATTGGCCAATCATTTTCTTTTCTTACAGCGTCATTGTCTGGCTCAGGGAACAGGATAATGCTGACCTCATAAAATGCATCTGAGTGTTGTTTCCTCACCAGTAAAGCCATCTGGTCCTGGGCTTTTCTTTGTTGGGAGATTTGGGTCTTTGGGGGGGGGGTTGTTATACATTTGATTCAATTTCCTTATTTGTTATTGCTCTCTTCGTATTTTCTATTTCTTCAGAACTCGGTCTTAGTACACTATACAGACTGGTAAATTATCCACTTATGGTGAGTTATCTATCCAGCTCTTGCACATTACAGGTCATGCACAGTACTCTCTTGTGATCCTTCATGTTTCTGTGGAATCTGTTTTAATACCTCCTTTTACACTTCTGATTTTAAGTCTTTTTCCCCCTCAGTCCAACTAATGGCAATCCACTTGATTTAATTTTTCAAAAGCAGGATCTTTATTTGATTTATCTTTTCTGATGTCTTTTTTTCTAGATGTGATTTCATTTATTTCTACTTTAATTTTTATTCCTTCTACTTCCTTTGGTTAGTGTCTTTTTCTAGTTCCTTGAAGTATAAAATTGGGTTCTTTGAAAGCTTTCTTCTTAAAAAAAAAATTATTACATTTATTTACTTATTTATTTATTTATTTATTCATTTATGTGTGCCTGTTGCACTGGATGCAAAGCACTAGCTATGTCTGTTAGGTCTACTTGGTCTAACATGTGGCTGGAGTCCAACAGCTTTTATTGATTTTCAACCAGGTGATCTACCAATGGCTGGAATTGAGTACTGAAGTCTGTTACTGTTATCATATTGCTGTCCATTTCTCCCATCAGATCTGTTGACATCTGTCTTTATATATTTAGGTATGTCACGGTTGGTATGATATACATTTACAATCGCCCTACCACCTTGATGGATTGTCTTCTTTATTATACAACCACGATTTTCTTTGCCTCTTGTAATAGTTTCAACTTATCTAAAACCTCCCGTACAGCTCAGCCTGGACTCAAATTCTTGATCCTCCTGCCTCATCTCCCAAGTGCTGGCCCAGATCAACCCTGTATGCCCTTAAAGCTAACTTGAATCTCTTATGAGTAACATAAAATTCAAAACCACTGTGATTTGATTTCTTTCTTTCTTTTTCCTAAGACAGGGTTTCTCTGAGTAGCCCTGGCTGTATTGAAACTCACTCTGTAGATCAGGCTGGCCTCAAACTTAGAGATCCAACCATCCAAATGCCTCTGCCTCCAAGTGCTGGGATTAAAGGTATGTGCTACCATCACCACCATCCCCATCCCCACCCCATGCTAGTTTCATTTTTAATATCCATTCTGCCATTCCACATCTTCTGGTTGGAGAATTTAATCCATTGCCATTTATGAAAATTGTTGCTAGATAGGACAATTGCCACTTTGCTGATTGTCTGTTTCACAGTTCCTCTGTCCCTTCCTCAGTTTTTTAAATAAAATCTCCAAATTTTAATTCTTATTAATAGCATTTTATGCTTTTGACACTGCAATTTTTCTTTAAGACAGGGTCTCACTGTGTAGCCCCGGCTGTCCTGGAACTCACTCTGTTGACCAAGCCTGGAATTCATAGCCTCTGTCTCTCAGGTGCTGGGATTTAAGGTTGTGCCACCATGCCAAGCCAATTTACTTCTTTTGATATTGGATATCCATTAACAAACTATTGTAGCTATAGTTATTTTAGTGTGTCTGTGTTTTAACCTATATGCTAGAGGCAAACACCATTATGATATTGGAGAAGTTGAATTTCACACTCCCTGCCATTTTTTCATTTCCTCTTTCCCCTGGAAGCAGACACCTCTGCCTGCAGGTTTTACAGCATAGCATCAGGAAACACCATTACCTATCAGGCTAGCTGTGGATTCTGGGGCCCTCCCACCCAGGCCAGATGCCAAGAGCCTCCTTCGTGTTTTATTTTCCCTACTATGTGCCCATAAATTCTCATATCCATGTGTCTGGCTTAACATACATGTTGTTAGCCACCTTCAAGGTTCACACCATTGTCGGGGGCTCTCAAAGAACCTGGGCATAAGGCAGGAGAGACAAGGTAGAGCATTGGGGTAGCCATAGGGCATGGAAGGAAGGCTCTGCAGGTGCAGCATCCCAGACAGATCACGAGAAGGCATCCTGACAGAGGCCACAAAACAGCAGGGTTATGCAGTTGAGTCCTGAGCCCAAGGTGCTTCAAGTCCCCGCCTCTCTACAATGAGACAGCCTCCTCCGGCCATGTAGCCATGCTGATCACACACGTGTTCTCAGTGGGGCAAGAAGTGGGTGAGTGCCATGTATCATCGCACCTGACTGCAGCTGGGAAGGGTCTGTCTTAGCACTGAGCTGCAATCACTGGTGGAGAGGAGTTTGTGAATACAATAACACTGTTCTCCAATGATCCTGGTGTGGGCTAGAAAATCACAGACACTTGGCAATGAAACAATGGTCCCTTGAACACGTATCGTAAGTCCACCTAGAGTTGCATAGCAAAATGGCATAAACTGAGCAGCTTGTAATAGTCCTGGAGGCTTCAAAGTCCAAGATCAAGATGGGGGCAATGGTGGGTTTTGTTGCCTGCTGTGCTGGTCGGTTTTGTTGGTGGTGGTGGTTTTTGTTTGTTTGTTTATTTGTTTGGTTTGGTTTTTGGCAGCCTAATGCAAACCTAGGCATATCCACTGTGGTGGCTGAAATGAGAATGACCCCCATGGGCTCATATATTTAAATACTTGATTCCCCAATTGGTGGAGTGGGTGTTGGGACCATTCCCGGTCAGCTGTCTCTCTGCCTCCTACTTGTGGGTAAGGCTGTAAGCTCTCAGTTGCTGCCCCAACACCATATCTGCCGCCATGCTCCCAACCATGATGTCAGGGAATCACCCTCCAAAACTGTAAGTACCCAATGGAGTCTTTCTTCTGTAAGGTGCCTTGGACATGGTGTCTCTTCACAGCAATAGGAAAGTAACATATGAGAAGAAGCCCCAGCTGAGAGATTGCCTCCATCAGACGCCTGAAGGCAACTCTGTGGATCCTGTTCTTGATTACTGACAGATGTGGAAGGGCCCGGCCCACCGTGAACAAGGGCAGGTGGTCCAGGGTTGTAAGCAAGCCATGGGGAGGGAGCCAGTACATAGCATTCCTCCATGGCTTTTGCATCCAGTCCCTGCCTTGAGTTCCTGCCCCAACTTCCCCTTCATGACGGACTGTGACCTGGGAGGAGTACAATGAGAGAAGTCTTTCCCTCCCAAGTGGCTTATGGTTCATGGCTTATGGTTCATTGCAGCAAGAGAAAGTGAACTGGAACACCTGGTGAGTGTGACTTCTTCAAAATTTAAATCTTCACACTGTGACCTCACCTGAAGGAAGGGGCTAGCTGCTCCGTAGCCTCTTGTACATGTTCATCACCACCTCCTGTGATTAGCATGCAAGAACCAATCTGTCCTGTTCATTGCTCTTTCTTGAGTCCCCAGAAGAGTCCCTGGAAAGCAGCAGAAGCTCAATCAGATATTTGATGAGTGAACAAACGAAATAAGAAATATTTAGCATCATGGGCACTGGGTTATGTTGTTTAAGATAATTTCCCAAAAGTGGAATGCCTGCATCCGAGAGCACATGCATCTTACAATTTGGTATCCAACATTCCCCACAGTGATAGAAATGGTATTTCTGTCCCCCCTGACCTACAGTCTTCATGGATACACACACACATGTTCAATGTGCTCCCCATGCGGCCACATGAAGAGACCTGATGCCCCAGCACTACCACAACCAAACATTCAGCCTGTGACATTCAGGGGCACACAGTTTAAAGCCAGGGGTAAGGGGGGAGAGGCCCTTTTCACCCCACTGATGAGGGTGATTGGTCATCATGATCTCCTCTCCGGTGCTCTTTGCAGGAAGGACCAACGTTGGCAAATTACCTTTCAGGTCCCCAACTATCAGACACAGCAAAGCAGCAGCTAACACTGCCCTGGCTCAATAAATGTTTAATTAATTAATCAATCAAGCCAAATCAAACATGAGCGTGATTACCCAGATATTTCTGTCTACACACCACGAGGTGGCTCATTAATTCCTTTTTCTCTTCTCTTAAACTTTTCTACTGAAATGAGAATGTGTTTGGGAATTCTGTGGAGTTAGCCTTAGAGGTTTAAAAAAAAAACTGATAAGTATGAAATATTCTCAGGATATCCACCAGAGCAGATTGCTGATAAAACAATCGTTGTTATCCTAAAGTCAATGCCTTACTGTTCATAATGCTGAGGTAATAAAATACTACAGCCTGTGAGGAGACAAGGTTTAAAAAAAAAAAAAGACTACAAATATGGTTCTATGAACATAAAAAGCCGAACTCAAGAGAACCTATTCAGCACTATTTTGCCCAGGGTGAACGTCCTCACTTCCGCTAATCACAAGGACAAAGGGATGCTCTGTGGCATGAGATTCTTAATTGTGCCTCTCCCTGTGGGATTCCGTCAGAATCTCCCAGCACCGCAGCTCCGTAAGAAAATATTGCATTGGGTCAAATGTAGGAAAGTGAAAGCCTGATAATCAAATAACCACACTGGGTAGAAGTGCTGTCTGGTTCCCGTGCTTAATAAACTTACAGCGGATGCTGGAGGTCTCTGAGAAACACCCCACGGTTTCAAGCAGCTCGGCTGAGTTCTGCATCTTCATACAGTCACTTAAGACCATAAATTATCTGCCTTGGTTTCATTTAAAGATCATAAGATGCTGGGATTTTGTACTGTTTATTTTGAGCTATAAATACTAGCCGTGGTCTTTCTGGGTATTAATGTGATGGTAATTGTGCTCCTGGTGGATTTGAGATGGGATAAGTGAATGGCATTCCTAAGACCCACCAGCCAGTGATACTCAGGGCAGACACTGCTTCTGCCTCTGGCAGCAGCTCAACCCCAAAACCCCAGCCCTCAGGAAGGTACAATAGTCAGAGCAAGGAACCCTAGCAGGGTTAGTACAGATGGAAATTTCTGATAACTTCCAGAAGGTAAAATAATAATAATAATTCACAAAAAGCATATTTTCCCCTACTCTCTCAAGATTTGCCTTGAATTTTTTTTTAAAGCTCTTCTGGGTTGAGTTCGAGCACTCACTCACTCACACATTCGTCTGGGAGGCAGTGATCTGGCAGCAGCCCACGGCTCAGAGATGTGCCAGGAGGACTCCAGCAACTCATCGAGGCCTCCGATTCCTCACAGACTGAGCCCCAGCACAGAGACGAGTGATCCCGACCATAAGCGCTGCCTTCACAGGCTGTCGGGGAGTGTGAACCCGGGACAGCAGAGCTGGCTGGAAGCCCAGCAATAGCCACTTCCTCCCTCGCCTCGGCGATGCAAACACGCAGATCAATGCTGTTGCTTTGGAATCTGCCTCGTTCCAACATTGTCAACACACGTTCAGCCACACATAGTCCACAAATACACATGCCAACACACACAGCCATCACACGTCCGTCTTCACCGTCAACTCTTTACCTTTAAATGATGCAAGGCATGTGTCCTAGTTTGCTCTACTGTTTCTGGGATAAACATTGACCAAAACTAAGTTGTGGGGGAGGGCTCTATTTGGCTTACAGGTTACATACAGTCCACTATCAAAGAAAACCAAGGCAGCAATTCAAGGTGAGAACCTGGAGGCAGGCACTGAAAAAAGAGATCACAAAGGAACACTGCTTACTGGCTTGCTCAGCTACCTTTCTCATGTAGCCAAAACCCACCTTCACAGGGATGGCACTGCCCACAATGCCCCCCATCAATCATTAATCAAGAAAATCCCCCACAGATATGCCCACAGGCCAATCTGATGGAGGCAATTCCTCAATCCAGGTTCCCTCTTCCCAGGTATGTCTATGTTTGAATCAAGTTGGCAGTAACTATGACAGGGTACAAAGGAATAGCCAAATCAGGCCTGCCACGGCCTCCCCAGGGTTCTAACCAAAAGCCATCCAAGTGCTGGATCTATTTCAGGCAACTCATCCCACAGGCTCTCGGGGGGTCTGACATCTAATCAAGTTACCAAGGCTTTGATGAGTAATCTGGGAACCTTGCAACCCTGAAAAATCACCTGTGCTTTTTACAAGCCTGGGTCATGGGTGAAGAACATGCACCCCAGGATCTGGGCCTGTCCTCTAGGATCAGACCATGCACCCCAGGATCTGGGCCCATCCTCTAGGATCTGAGTATGTACCCCAGGATCTGAGTATACACCCCAGGGTCTGAGCCTGTCCTCTAGGATCTGAGCATGCACCCCAGGATCTAAGCCTGCCTCTAGGATCTGAGCATGCACTCCAGGATCTGAGCCTGTCCCCTAAGATCTGAGCCTACCTCTAGGATCTGAGCACACACCCCAGGATCTGGGCCTGCCTCTAGGATCTGAGTCTGCCTCTAGGATCTGAGCATACACCCCAGGATCTGAGTCTGCCTCTAGGATCTGAGCACACACCCCAGGATCTGGGCCTGCCTCTAGGATCTGAGCCTGCCTCTAGGGTCTGAGTATGCACCCAGGATCTGAGCATGTACCCCAGAATCTGAACCTGTCCTCTAGGGTCTGAGCCTGCCTCTAGGGTCTGAGCATGCACCCAGGAGCTGCACCTATGAAGAAACACTGAAGCATCATAGGGAGGGGTAATATTTTGATGAGTGGAACCACAAAGCAGGCATCTCCCCTCCCATAGGATTTGTATTTTCATATCTGACTCATTTTCCATTGAGTGTGGTTGATCCTTAATAGGGCACAGCACTGGAAGAACCAGGTTCCAAAGAATCTGCATTGTCCCTGTTTTTGTTTTTGTTTTTTTTTAAGGGCAGATCCAAGCATTGGGGTGTACATTTATGATCTTAGGTCTGGGAAGGCTGACTTAAGATCACAAATTCAAGGTCAGCCTGAGCTACATAAAAATAATCCATTTTAAAAAGCAAGTGGGAAAAAGGAGAGCCTGAACATTTTTAAATTTCTTTTTGCTTGGCATGGTGGCACACATTTTCAATCCCAGCACTCAGGAGACTGAGGCAGGAAGCTCTCCACTTCAAGGCTAGCTTGGATACACAGTGAGTTCAAGATCAGCCTGTGCTACAGTGAGATCCTGTCTAAAAAAAATGGACAGATGACTGATTGATAGATCAGTCATTAGGTAGACAGATTATAGATGATAGGCAGGCAGATAGATGGGAGATAGATAATAGATCAATAGTAGATATGAGGGAGAGAGAGAGAGAGAGAGAGAGAGAGAGAGAGAGAGAGAGAGAGAGAGAATGAATGGATAATACCATCTGTCCCAGAGGCTCTAACACAGAGGCACCCAAGATCCACAGAAAGTGTGCAATTGGTAGCTGTGAGTTCAACTCTGGCTCCATCATCAATATCTAACTGACTTTGTGCAACTGACTCCTAATCTTTAAAATGGGACCACAGCCTCCCTCCTTTTGTTGGTTGTAGTGATTAAAGATGATGTGTATGCAATACTTACCACCTCCCATGGAAACCTGACCCATGGAGATGGGAAGGGGCCAACAGTCAACCCACCAAGCAAGAAAACTCAGCCTCCTCCTGCAGGGCCACCTTGCCCAGAAGCAGAGATCAGGAGCTGGAAGGCAGCTCAGTGGTATAACACCTGCCTCTGCAGGTACGAGGCCTCAGGTTCAATCACCAGCACCACACACAAAAACAACTAAAAATATCAAATTAGAAGCACAGATAAGAGCCATGTAAAGGATTCCAACTTGGGGACTGACCATGGGAAAAGAGAGTCAAGGGCATTTGGAGTTGAGGCTAAGGGCAGAGTGTGGGCAGAGGCAGAGGAGGCCTGGGCTAAGAACAATATGAAACCCTTCACAAAGTGTGCTTCTCCCACACTCTCAGTCAGAAGAGATGGGTGGCGATGAGCAACTCCATAAAGGATGCTGCTGAGGCACCAGGAGCCTCATGACTAGTGCCCTCACCTGCAGCTCTCCACTCCTGATTTTTGTGCCCACATGGTGAACCGTTCAGCAGCAGATCCCCCTGTTCCACCCACTCATGAAAAAAGTGAGGATCAGTCCTCTCTCTGCCAGTCACCAGCCACCTCCCCCAAAATAATTACTCCCAGCTGTGTTAGCTAAGACTATTGCAAAAACAAAGCCCTCTGGAGACTTAGACTCAGCAGGACCATGGGGAAGGAGCTTCCCCTGTAGTGTGGGTGAATTGAGAGGGTGCTGGCCCTCCAGGTGGGCTGTACACACCCCATCACACAGACAGCTGAGGAGATTGCCTGTGTCATTGCGGATCTGGTCTGATGGAATCTGAGCACACAATGGGGAGGTGGCCAGACAGGTTCCCAGAGCAGAGACTGAAAGGCCTCTGGGAACACAACTTGGGAGCCTACAAACTAGAAGAAGAGATGTATGTAGCTCAGTGGTACAACCTTTCCTGGGCATGCACAAGGCCCCTGGCTCAATCCCCAGCACCTCTGGAAAAGGAAGGGAGAGCGAGAGGAAGGAGCAATTTTGTTTTAGACTTCATCCTGGAAAAACAAAAAACCATGTTTGGCTGGGTATTGTGACACACAGCTGTGTAACTCCAGTGCACAGGAAGCTGAGGTAGGATGATAGTGAGATCTGGTCTAGCCTGGGATATATTATTTAGCAAAACACTTTAAAAAAAAACAACAAAAAACTGCTTAGAGGAAATCCTTTGATGAGCTTCCTGTGATGTGGGGTGACACTCTAGGAGGACATTCTGTGATAGAGGTGAGCAAGCCTCCTTCTGACGGATGCCATGCTGCCTGGGGGATGCTGGCTTCTGTTTGTGTGTGAGCATAGAACTAAGGGAAGGCCCAAGCCACGTGGTGCAGAAAAGAAAAGGAGTTTGCATCCTGATGTGATGACGACCCCACTGAACATCTGGGGACCATTTAGGAAGCCACTGGAATGACAGACAGTAGTCACTAGAAGCTAGAAACATCTGTAAAGGGTGCTACAAGGTCTTTACGCTATGACTTAGGAGGAAAGTCTCGATTACAATATTCCTGACCCTGTATGTGTGGGTTTTCCACAGCAAGCTCTTTGTCCCACCAGACCTCTACTTCAGGCACTGAGAGATGACGTCAGGCCCCACTAGACCCCTGCCTCAGGTGCTGATTACAAGTAGTGCTAAGGATGTTGATTGACTTACATACACACCAGAGGTTCCCACAAACCCCTCAGTAGGCTCAGCAATTTGTCAGAATGCAACTCAAGGAGAACCTTTACTTATGAATGCAGACTTGCGAGAAAAGACATAAATGAGTGACCAGATGAAGAGGTAATACACAGAAAAGAAGACTAGGTGGGGGAGGAGGGGCTTCTGTTCCATGGGGCTGGCAGGTGGATATGTTCACCGGTCTGACAGCTCATCAAATCGCCCTCAGAGTCAGAGTTTTTAGAATTTAATCCCAAGGCCTCCTCATGTGCCCAGAGGTCAGTTGGTGAGGCAGAACATTCCGCCCTTCTAATTGTCTTTCCAGTGACCAGCCCCTCGGAGGCCCAACCTCAGTCACCTCATTAAGATAAACTCAGGTGCTGTGACTGGCAGGGGCTGGCTGTAGACAATCCTATCACTCAGAAAACTCAAAAGATTTTGGGAGCTCTGAGCCAGGACTTTAGGACTAAGATTGTTTCCCTTGTTTTGTTTTTCCTTGGGGGAGTCAGGGAGACAGGAGCTTACCATGTGGACCAGGCTGATCTTGAACTTGCTACATTGTCCAGGCTAAACTTGAACTCATGGCCCCCTGCCTTAGTCTCCCAAGTGCTGATGTCACAGGCATGCACCACCATGCCTGGGACTTGAATTTTTTTCTATTATGTCACTGACAGTCTTTGCCATCACAACAAGCATTAAAGTTTTGTGGGCAAGGACTTTAGGAATGTCTGAGAGCCGGGCAGTGGTGGTACACACCTTTGATCCCAGCACTTGGGAGGCAGAGGCAGGCAGATCTCTGTGAGTTCGAGGCCAGCCTGGTCTCCAAAGTGAGTTCCAGGAAAGGTGCAAAGCTACACAGAGAAACCCTGTCTCGGAAAACCAAAAAAAGAAAAAGGAATGTTTGAGAGCAAAGCCCAAGTTGTGGTGTGAGCCAAACACACACACCACACACAGAGCCAGGAGGCAGAGGGTAACGGCAGAGATGACACCCACACTGGAGACAGAGTGGTTGGTAGAGGGCAGAGGCCCCAGTGCAGCCCGGGCTCTGCTGCTGAGTCCTTGAGGTTCCATAGATGTTCATCTCAGGTAGAGTCCATGCCTTCCCAACCGAGGACTCTAGCATGAGATGGTAGTGATTAGCAGAGCAGCCATATATTGCTATAAAGTATGATTAATGCCACAGTATAATGAATTTTCTCACCAATTCCATGCACAAAGCATTGCTCTGGTTGAACTATAAGATGACTTCGGAAGCACTATTGATTTTCATTATTTTAGTTTTCTCCATCCCTGAGTTCCTTGAAGCTATTCCCCAGTTTGATTTTTATCCAGCAGAACAATCTCCACTTCCTCTTTCTAGTCAGTAGAAATCTAGTCATAAAATCTCAGGACTTGGTAGTCTGAAGGAGGAAACTGATTTACATAGAAGTTCGTCCTTCCAGAGGGATGATGGTTTCTGATCTTCTGGAGCTTGTGGGAACTTCTCCCTCTGGCACAGTAGGTGTGCTGTGCAGTACTTTCCTCTGAGATAAAACATTCTGTCTTGGAGGGAAGCTCAGTAAGACTAAGAATGTTCTAAGGGGTGGGGCTGAAACGTTCGGTCCTGCAGGGAGCTTCCTTAAGCTCCGGAAGAAAACAATTCAAAAGGTTTCAGGAAGTCCCTGAAACTGGCCAGATACAGAAAACACCTCCCTCCCCAAGCATACATAAGCAGTAAGGACTTCTGAGAGACTCTCTCAGATCCGGTGAGCCACCTGGAAAAGGTTCAGACCAACCAAGGACACTCTACAACCTACTGAGCTGCCTGCAGACTGTGCACAGGGCTCCGGGTTCCCAGCTTTTGTGGGGTGGGCTTTTGTGATGCAGCTGTCTCTGAGTTATTTCCATTCCTAACAGTAAACCCAATAAAACTCATTGGGTTGCTGAGTTAGTTAGACTTTGGTGGTATCCTTACTTTGGTCTTTCATCAGGACCCTATTTGGGAGGAGTAGACATTTATTCACATCTCCCCAGGAATAGTGTCACACAACAGAGTGTCATCATGGAATCACAAGTCAAGCATGTGTACACACTCTTCTTCTATAATAATGAATGTGACTTCTGTGATGAAGAAACCTTCTCCCAGTTTTCAAATGCCTCACGAGACATAAAGCCATAGGCTGTCCACTGGTAACACTGGCCAGCCCTGATGCATGGGGCTCCTCCGGTGTTCATGTCCCCACCCACTTCACCCTTCTCACGCTGTTTCCTATAGCAACTGGGACACACAGCATCAAGGCAGAAGCAGTCCTTCAAAGATAAGCATGGTAATTTCCCAGCAGAGGCCTCTTTTGACTTTGCAGGGGCCATCCAGGAGGCTGGGATCCCTGGGGTGCCTTGGCAGTGTCTCTCCTCTGATTTGCTGTCATCGTGGAACAGATTACCTCTGCATACGAGCAGCGAGATATTAAAATTGGACACCATTCTGCCTCTGATATTGGGGAACAATCACAGATGGCTTTGTGTAGAATGACTTCTATGACAGAGCAACAAGATGTACAACTCCAAGGCTGTTAAAAATAAAGCCACGTACAGTGAAGCTGGAAGGGCTATGCAGACAACAACTTTAAAGTGAACAGAGACTGAGTCAAGAGACTGCTGCAGAGAAAGACATCACAGAGGACACCACGGTTTCCTGAGGGTTGTGGGGGGAGCCTGGTGGTGGCGGGGAGCTCAGTCATGGTCATCCATCTGTCCTGGGTGCTGAATCTCTACACTGCCCAGAACAGTCCATTCTGGGACTCACAGCTAGGCAAGGAGAGATGGTCAATCATGTTGTAAACATACCAAATAACAGGACTTCAAAACCGTTGTAAATGTGGACTGGAGAGATGACTCAGAAGTGACAAGCACTTCCTGCTCTTACAGAGAGGACTGGGGTTCAAGGTTACAAGCACTCATATTAGATGGCTCACAACCATTCGTAATTCCAGTTCCGAGGGATCCAGTGCCCTCTTCAGGCCTCCATGGGCATCAGGCAGTGTGCACTATGTATGTGCAGACAAAACACTCATACACATGAAATAAAAATAAAACTTTTTTTTTAATTGTAAAGGCATGTAATTCATTCCTTTAATACCCAGCAGTCAGGAGGCAGAGGCAGACAGATCTCTATGAGTTCAAGGCCAAACTGGTCTATATAGAGGGAGCTATCTAGAAAGACCTTATCTTTTAAAAAAAATGTTGTAAATGCTAGAAGGAAAAGAACAGGATTGAATTATTAGGAAGTACTGGCCAGGCTGGGGTGTTGGAGAAAATGTCTGTGAGAAGACAGCATCAAAAATGGGTGTGAAAAAATCAAATTCAGGAATTTGTAGGGTTTGACAGATCTTACACAACTTGATGGAGACAAGTTCTGATTGTCAAGGTTATCAACAACCTTTTTTAGGGTCTGGAGGGACGGCTCAAAGGTTAAGAGTACTAGTTGCTCTTGCAGAGGATCCAGGTCCAGTTCCCAGCACCCACGTGACAGCTCAAAACTATGTATAACTCTAATTCCAGAGGATCTGATGCCCTCTTCTGGCCTCCTTAGGCACTGCACACACATGGTACACATATATACAAACAAAATACTCACATACATGGAATAGAAATAAAGAAATAAACTCTTTTTTTATTATCATTTTCAGGTATTTCTGGTTGTTCTGGTGGTTTTTTTTAGACATTTAGGAGCCAGCTCATATGAGATATGAGGGGTGGTTAGCACTTGGCTCTACAACATGAGAAATATTTTAGATTTTGTTTGCATATGATGATTTTTTTTAACCTACTTCTTCAACAGAACAAATGCCAAGCAGAGGTTAGAAAGAAATGTTAGCATGAATGTAAACATCAACTTCATGAAGATTCAAGCAAAAGCAGGCTCTTTTTCTGCCAAAACATTTTTTTTTAATTTCTTATCTGCAAAGGTTAGATAAGGCATTCACGTAACTGTTGGGTTGGAGACCCAATCATCAAACTCTTGAAACTAACCTAACGGAGAAGAGAATGTCCCTTGGTGAAGACCCCACTGTGTGTGCTGGAAGTGAGTAGGCTAAGGCAAACTGAGGGCGCTGGGGAGGGATAAGTATTCTCGAAGAGGCAAGAGTGCTGAGGAAGAGAAACTGCAAACAGATTCGTGAGAAGCTACTGGCTGCCTAACACAAATAGCACTTCTTTGCCTCCTGCAAAGGAATCGCACCGACTAGTTCCAAGTGCTTTGGGTTGCTGTGCGCATGGCCTCTGTCTAATGAGACACAGTTTCCAGCCTGTTGGATTTCACACTGTTCAGTGCCAGCTTGGCAATTTGTTTTGAATCAAACTCTAAAGCCTGTTAACCTGGTGGGTAAGTCTTCTGGGTGGGCAGCCAGAATCCTGCATGGTATTTCGCTTCTCTTAAAGGAAAAAAAAAAAGAAGAAGATGGTGGTGGTGGCAGTGAGGATAAAGAGAGTGAGTTCAGAGGTGGGCACAGTGGTGCACACCTATCATTCTGATGATGTGTCAAGGGGCTGAGGCAGGAGGATCACAAGTCTAAGGCCACCCTGGGCTTACATAACAAGACCTATCAAGATGTAAGGGGAGGGGAAAAGGGTAAGAGGGAGGGAGGGAGGGAG